GGGTAGCGCAGTGCTATTACTGCCCACCGTGTTATTAAAGCACTTCCAGATTAAGTGAAAATTAATTCACGTTAGACTGCAAATTGCTGTCTCTATTATCTCACTCCTGAGTTATTGTGGTAATTGATCAGTATCAGAGGAGCTAAGTAACAAAAAGAAATGCCAGGAATTTTGTGCAGAGTGTGAAAACGAGTCTTATGTCATACCTTTGCTGGCTGGCTCATGGACTCTTTCACCCTGTGGCAGTCACTGCCGCGCACCAGGTCTCGAAGCACCAGATGGGTCACTGGTCCTCTGCTTCTCTCTGGGACTGGGGAAGGTCCTGTTGCTGGCACAGCTCTGCACGATGGAGGCAGTAGGACAGTTCTTATTCTGCTGGAGGGCTTGCTTTGCTTATTGCCTGACTTACCTGTGCTCTACACCTTTCTTAGGCACCACCTTGAGTACAGGAGGACAAGCGAAACAAAATGAAATGTTGGTATTTAATCTTCCTAATTCAAAAGCTAAATTAAAGGCTTTTAACTTTTTGGGAAACACTCTGCCTTAAACTGGGCAATACCTTGACTGTGCCTCTTGGCCCTAATTTGTCCCTGAGTAAGACCGATGTCCCTGACTGCCTCAACAGCTGCAGCAAGCAGGTAGTAGCTCATTTCCCTTTATATTTTCACACCACAGATGATACTCTATAGCTCTGAATTGAAATGAGACAGATAGCCTCGATTCCCACCGGGAAGCAATGAAAACATCGCTTCTCACGATCTACATCGCAGAACACTTAGGGTGACGTGCGCTTGACGTTTTGAAGTTATTTTTTATTCGGGACGTTGCTTCGAGTTGCTGGATACTCGTGGTTTCCTGGGTTCCGCCTCGGAGGCAGCGCTATGCAATGCCGAGATTGTGCGGGATTTGCACTGCACTGGGATTGCGTCGGATTTGCACAATGCTGGGATTGCCTGGGATTTGCTCCACACTGGGATTGCGCGGGATTTGCCCTGCGCAGGAATTGTGCGGGATTTGCGCTGCGCTGGGCGCGGCGCCGTGCGCGGCCGCCAGGGGGCGCGGCAGTGCCGGGGCCGGGCGGGGGGGGGGCGGAGGAGGAGGCTGAGGAGGAAGAGGAAGAGGAGGAAGATGAGGAGGAGGAGAAGAAGGTGGCGGATCGTCCCCCTGCCCGCCCCCCGCCTGGGGCTGCCCCAGCAGCCCTGGGGACAAGCTTTTCCCCCGAGATTCCAGCTGGGGGTCGCTTGAGGAGGGAAAAAGGAAAAATAGCTGGGTTTTTTTTTTTTTTTAAAGGCATGGGGGAAGGGGGATGTAGCTGTCTTCTATCTCAAGGGGAGGCTGGCAGGCAGCATTCACCACTCCTCTCTGTGGAGAGCCGTGACTGTCCGAGGTAGTCTCAGAAATGAGACTACCCCTAAGAAAAATTGCTGAGAGCAGGGTTTTCATTTCTTTTTCAGAGCAGGAAGGAAAGTGGTGAATATTAAATGTTGGTTACTTTCAGATGCAACCACTACTAGAACCTCAATGTGCCTACAACAGCAATATGACATTGGAACAGGAACGCACGTCTCTAGATGGCACAGTTCATCACCTGGGTCTTCAGACTTTCATTGCATCCATTTTTTACATGCTCCATCATCTTCATCACCACTGCTATCACTGCTATTGTAGTTTCGAAGGCAAGAAAGGTTCCCTGTCTCTGAAAGCTTTCCAAAAGAAAGCTCCACCCGTTACAAAGAAAGTTCCATTTCTTTTCAGGCATTAAGAAGTATCTTAAAAGCCACATTGAGGGATTGGTTGTGCAAAGTTCACTTACATGTTTATGTTTCTTTGGCTACAGAACTATAGAATGTTAATAACAAATCTTTAGCACTGATATCCAAAAGAAAAAAGTATAACGTGTGCAAATAATGCCTCAGTGCAAGGGTGGCCAGCTCATGTTTGTAATCTTGCAAACAGTTTAACTGAGTGATTCAGGTCGCTCAGGACACAAGGCATTAAAAGTATTTCCCTTCTCTCTACCTCTGTGACGGTCAATCTCTGCTGCGCATCGTCCCGGCTTGCACACAAGCAGGCAAAGATGGACTTTCCTCTGTTCTCCCCTGAGATCCTGTGGAGTGCCAGGTCTTACAAAGGATATATAAGCAAGAAGCAGTGATGAACAGAAATTGTGACAATCTGAGGCTACATAGAAAACATGAAATGTGCTTATACGCGTGTAGGCAGATGTGTATATGTGAACAAGTATCTCAAAAGAAGAAATGAGAGCAGCTGTGTGGCATGGCAGGAGCAGGCAAAAGACTCAACCCCAACTCAGTGAGCTGAGGGGAAAGAATGGAGTAGCCCATGTGCTTCATCTGTCCACTGGACAGTGCAAGGGTGACTACACGAGGATGAAGAGGTGACAGCTGCTGAAAGGACAGGAATTTTATCCCTTTGCAGCGAAGTGTGATCAGTCCAATCTGCAATCCGGTTTTTGGTAAAAAAAACCCTGCTGCTGTCAGGCTGTCTGCTGAGACCAATCAGAAAGAGGACAAAGCTCTATGACCTTCAGGCAGAGAGGGTTGTTATCATTACAGTTCTTGTGGTTACTGCTGTTACTTAGTTGTTTTGCCTTATTTAGCCTTTGAGAGTATCCCCTGCCCTGGCTGGCTGTGGCCGCTGTTTGACGGATGAAGAGCAGAATTAGGCCGTAGCAGATGGCTGTGGACGGAGTTGGGATAGGAGTGGGACAGAGCCCCCGCAGGACTTGCTTCCAACCGGGCTGTTTCAGAGGGGGGTGGGAGGGACTCGGCGGGAAGGATGCGCGGG